TCAGGTAGACGATGGAGAAGTGGGTTTGTGAAGATGGAGGTATCTGTTTTTGCAAATGAGCTCTTCATTTCTTGCAGAAGCATAAACAAAATATAGATATACAATATATAATGTCATACTCTATTTGTTGTTGTCCCCACTGACCTTATAATGAAACCCCTCCAGTGCTGCTACCATGTCTGTTAACAAACTGAAGCTGACAAGAATATGCCAATAACTGGAAGTTACCTTTAGTCACATATACAGTAAAGTAGTGTTTTACAGTATGTTGTTATTCAGATGTTTTCAGCACATGTTGAATTAAATTACAAGCGAGACTTTCAGCAGCCTTCATACGATTTTTTTTTGAGTCTCAGCAGTGAATGTGTCCCTGAATTCCGAGCACATCTGCTGAAGTCGGTTGTGCGTTTTTGCATTCTGAAACATTCAGCAGTGCCCGAGCCTGCACCATAATATTTACTTGCCGCCGCCATACTGGGACAGTTCTCACTCAGCCTCGCCATGTGTAATACGACTACTGCCTGGTGTTTATTAAGGAGCTGCTAACAGTAGTCTCTTTTCCTTGGCGCTGCGTCCTGACATAAGAACCTGATATCAAGAAGCGGCTCGCTGCATTACATAACCAGAAATCCAGCTCCTCTCACCGTCTATATACCTAAATGTGTGTTTTGTTCTGCGGTGTTGTTCAGAATCCAAATATTCCCAGCGGCTGGCCCCTGCTTTTCTTCCTCGCTTTCTGTTGCGCCTTCTCTCAATATACTTCTCTGTTCCTCTCTCTCTTTCCAACCTCAAAACCTAATGGGTAAAAGGCAATTGAAACAGGGCTGACCACAAACGTTTTCAGTCAGCATTCCAGCAGGATGAGAACAGTGAGTCCACAGAAGATGCTAAGGCCCCAATCAAGACCGTCTTTGTTCAACGAGCGCAGCGTACGGTTCATCAGGCCTCAGAAAAAAAAACGGTCGCCATTTGAAACAATGTCCAGTGATGGGAGTCAGCGATGTGCTTCCTGAAGACTCAAACTGGCTTCTTTAATTCGTCCTACTGCCTGGATTTAGCTCATCGCATGATGAAAGGGAAGATTTGATGAGGAGGGAAAATCTTGCCGGGCCGGTTGAAAGAGTCACATTGTTCACATTGAGCTTGACATGGACCAGATTTCTATCTCGACCTTACGTTAATAGAAAAGCAAACACACATGGAGACAAGCATGTTTCGGGTTAGAAAGAATGACTCACATGTTACGCCGGACTCACATAGCCGAGATTAATCAAACAAATATAAGCTTATCATATTTGTACCCAATCAGACTTTCCACCGCGGCGCTCGAGACTTTAAAGCTCGCGGTTGATTGTGTTTCTCCGGGCTAATATTTTTCCTGTTAGCGTGCTGGGTTACATCACTGTTTGGATTTCTACAGAGTATGTATGTTATTACGCTGATTAAAAATTAATTGTTTATTTCCCCCTAACCAGACGGTGCATACCCTGAGCCCTCTGGATTTTTGTTGGTACCCCTCATAGCCACAAGATGGGAGTATGAACACGTGCTATGACAGCTACTGGTTCGGTGCCACGGTCAGAACTCGGCTGTGGCGTTGTGATCATAGCTCATTTGTTCAGGAAGAGATCTTGTTCTTTTGGCTCTGTAGGCTTTGGACGAGTTGAGTGATTTGTTTATGATGAATGTATTCTAAGACATCAGATACTTTCTCGATTGTAAATCAGAAATTTGTACCTGGAGCTATTTTTTTATTTATGATTAGCATCAAAAGCAACATTTCTGTTCTTCGTGTTCACCGCTCGCTGGAACCTCATGCGTCAATAGATTAAAGACTTGTTCCGCCTCAGTGAAGACGCTTTCTTTGATCCTCCTCTGTGTTCCTACGTCTGGCCTTTGACCTCCGACCTCACCGTTCTCTAGTTACTCCTCGCTCCACGCCGGCCGTCCCATCCCAGCCCGGCTGCTGTCGAGGATATGGCCTTTTCCCCCCTCTTGCTTACGTAAGATAAGAAAACAAGTCATTCCCGTCACCTTGCTCAGTTAATGGCCCGTAGAGAAGACTGGCTCCTGTCTGCTTGCTGAAATCGGAAACCGTGAAAAGAGAGTGACGGATTGGCGTCAAGGAGCGCTTTCCATGAAAAAGGGTCCGTCCCTTTCAGGCGATGCGTTGTGATATTTGGATTACCGCTTTGTTGTGGATGTTGGTTTTTTAGTTCTAATTGTTTTAGAATGTGCCTGTTTTTTTTTTTTTTCTGCTATATCTGGATCAATAAGAACCACCGTGACTCTGTGCTAAAACCACTGTGGAAGCTCCTTTAAAAAGTGATTCCTCTAATGACTCCTGCATCTAAAATTACAGTCCTCTTTTAACAAGATGTCCTGGTTTTAGGAAGGGGGTATATTTAGAGGCATGCTTTCTTGATTGACAAGTGTAGCGCACTCAGTCATGGTGGCTTCTGCCTGCTCCACCCAGGCCTCCCCCCGCGTTGCCCAAATTCTGATTATCTGGCTCCGGCAAACTGACCATGATTCTAAGCTTCAGAATATCCCATCGCGGCCCTATAGGGTGATGTCACAGAGGTTGCATCCACCGTTTTGCGCAGCCTTTAATTTAGAGGCAGCCACTGATAGCCTGCATATAGCACCATGTATGGTTTCTATAAATGTCTGGGACTCCACTGCAGTTTTTTGTTAGAAGCTTGAAGCAGATGCCACAAGCCGACGGTCACTTCTGTCTGATGATCTACCACCCCTCGTGTTTTCTGCCAAGTTATAATGACGACTGCAAATGGACGCAAAACAAAAGAATCGCACCAAATTTATTCTGGGAACTGCCGGTTCTTTATATTTTAGAGAAAGCTTGGAATTATCTTAAAGGATTGCAGCTTTTCGAGCTCTGCTATAGGCACCACAAACTCAGAGAAAGCAGCAGTTTGCGGCGCTAATTGCTGTTTGTTGGATATTCAAGGAATGCAAATTGTATGATCAGTTCGTCTAATTACATTTCTCACCATCTTGTTTGTTCACAGCAACTTCTCCAACTACAGGAATCGCTTCAGCATGCCCGGCCAGACTGAGAGCCTATGGTACAGGTAAGGGGACTCTACACACACTACGGGAGGCTCAAGCTGGTTCCGACCTGTTTCGTCCGTCTTGACAATCGGGAGCAGGAATCTTGGCCCGCGACCTTGGCCGGAGCAGCGGACATTGTTACCAAGCAATGCTGAACACTGCAGCCCTTGAGACTAGCATTAGCTACAGATAATAAAACTCTTCAACCCCACATCTCTCTGAAGAATCAACAGTCTGTTTTCCCAAACATTTTCTCATCCACATTGACTTTTTTTTTTTTTGTCCCTGCATAATATTATCAGCACTACAGGCACCACAATCTCCATTTCGTTTACATCTGCTTTCCCATGAGATCCCCCGTGGTGCCGCACTGCTCCTGGACTGCTCCTTCTGGCACGACACTTTTTAATAATATCCTGTCGTATGCGTTGCCATTATTTTCCAAGCTGAAGTTTCTGCTTATATATGCATGTGATGTTCCCCAGTTTCAATTCAGATTCCTGTTGTGTGAGTCTGCCTTTAGTCAGGATGATGTGCTTAAGCAGGTGAAAGAGCAGAATGCTGTAACACTGAAGGGGGATGTGGTCGGCTGTGCACGCAGCACCAGCAAAGAGAAAATTATTACTTTTCCAACGGGGACCCCATGTGAAGTATCATGTGAAAGTGTTCCAAGCCTCCTGCTGTATTTCAGTAAGCATTAATGAGCTGTACGAGTCAGCAGAGAAGTGCAGGGCTCCCGTCTCTTAGTTTTTCTTGCCTCTCCTATCTCAGGGACACACAAAGGAGCTATACATTTGACTGGGTGACTCATTGCCCGGCACAGGCCTCCTTCTCTCAGACTGTAAGATAATACATTGCTAGACCACAGGCCAGCTGCCCACTCTCCGTGGGCCTGGATGCAGACAGGCCCTGCTGGCTGAGAGCCCTTTGCTCATGTGCACGCTTAGGAACAAGGGGAGGCAGAGAGGAACACCGCAGAGGCAACTGACTGCTACTGGAAACTGTTCACTTCATAACCCGTGTGCACATATTTTTTCATTAACTGCACAGAATGAACATGTAAGCACTCACAGTACAGTACAGCCTTTGGGTTGAAAAGGGTTTTTATTGCATTTAACAGCAACATGCCAGTGACAAAATGTCGTCTGGGCTTCGGAGTATTTTTCACACTATGTGGAGTTTAAAGTGAGGTCTGTTCCTGCTTATCGGATGACTCTTAGCATGCTTCCTCTGCTGGGTCAAGGCTGTGCATCATTTTAACGATGTGTGTCTGCAGCTGGAACCTGGGGTCAGCACACATCATCTCCCTCTCCACCGAGGTTTATTTCTATCTCCAATTTGGCCAAGAGCTCCTCTTCAAGCAGTACGAGTGGCTGAAGAACGACCTGGAGGTTAATGACTGCAGCATTTACATCTGTAGATGACGGCTAAGTGCTCTCTTCTGTTCCCACACTTGCTTTGTCTTTCTTTTTTCCATTTCAGCACGATGTTATCTTTTTAGATTCATTTCTCCGTTATAAATCTATTGATTTCTCATTTTGCTACAACATTTGTGTCCTTATTTTAATCTGGCATGTGATTGGGTCCACTTAACCCTGACCTAGGAGGCCAACAAGCCCGAGAACAGAGCAGTGCGTCCGTGGATCATAACTATGGGACACAGGCCCATGTACTGCTCCGATGACGACCAGGATGACTGCACCAAGTTCGACTCCTATGTATGTACCTATTCATTTATACACTTAATTTCTTCACACTGCCGTAGAAAGTACTGGCTCATAAAGTTTCAGACATACCAGTAGTTTAATAGATTTTGTCGATGTGAAGTAAGTGGAGATAAATTCTGACTCAGTAAAGGCTGACGGTGCCACTCACAGCCCGACTCGGTTCTTAATTATAAAGATTCCTGATGTAACACTTTAACTACATTCCAGACATTTCATTAGCAAAGCCTCATTGTTTAACACTTTGGCAACACGTGGGTGTGACGTGGTTTTATTTGAGATATTATCGCATTCATCTTAAAACATTTCCTTCAAAGCTACCATTGTTAGCTGCGAGGTGGGTTATTTTAAGTACAGCACCTCTGTAGTGTTCTCATTTTCTCACATAAAGTCACTCGCAGGATGTGTTTCGCCGATTAAATTGCCCCTGGTAGCAGACGTGTCACGCATGTTGCAGACTGGCCATTTCACATCGCAACCCATAAGCACGTTGAGTCATAATCACTGTAATTTGGACCAAATAGTTTCCACTTGGGCTTGCTTGCTCTCTCAGCACTTGGCACTGTTTGGAGTGAGGCTGGCACGGGCCCGGTGGAGCTCTACCAGGTAGTGTTTCACGTAGCAGGTAGTGTTTCGGACGTCGCCGCCAGCTCATGCTGTCATTATTCCTCTCTGTTAAATCTCAGGTCCGACTGGGGCGGAATGACACCAAACCGCCAGCTCCCGGTCTCGAGGATCTATTTTACCGCTATGGTATGCTCCCTATTCGACAACCAGCTGTGCGCTCCTAATGGGTGTTTAAGATCACACATTTGCACACTCAGACAGACTAATGTCCTCACAGTTGCAGCGGGCAGAGCGGTCCAAACATCCTTTATTAAAAAAGCAGGCCTCCGGTTTGGCTGACATCCCTGCAGCCCGTTTTCAAATGTTTTTTCCTGTATTACATTTCTCAGACTTTTGTTTGTTGCATTTAATTATTTAACTTGTGGGGGGAACTCTGAAAGTTTTGGTTGCTCTGATGTTAAGCTTCTGTTGATTGTTGAGATATCTCGAAATTAAATAGGCACAAGATCTGAGAAACGCCGGATCACATCACGCTGCAGAATGTTTTTAATTGAGCTGTTTGTGTAGTTATTTTATTATGAGAGGCTGTGTGCTATCATCAGATGTCTTTCACAGGCGTGGACGTGGAGTTGTGGGCACACGAGCACACATATGAGAGACTCTGGCCCGTCTACGGGGACAAGGTCAGCTCGTGCGTTCTGAATTTACAGCCTTCTCCTGTCTTTGTAGTTCCCTGTTGTGCATTAGTGAACGATATTTCCTATGCTCTTCTCTTTATAGGTGTACAATGGAAGCAGAGAGCGGCCTTATGTGAACCCTAAGGCTCCGGTACACATTATCACGGGCTCTGCCGTAAGTACTTTCACATCACTGTGTGTGTGACTGTTAACATTTTTCCACATGGATCAATGCGTGAATTGACAGTAACATACACAAAAACACTGTTAAATATTGTACACAGTCCTGTCTGTGCAGCAGCTGGTTTGCCACATAAGTTCAGTACCAGCTGTTCCTCTGGTTAAGTGATTTCTGATGTGGTTGAGAGCAGTGCAGGGCACGCTTTGTCATCCAGCCACAGAGGGGTTAGTCATCAGCATATCAAAATGCAGCCAGACTCGCACCGAGGCACCGCCACACTTGTAAATGTCAAACAGGGCTTTGAGGACAGAGTTTAAGAAAGGCGCGTGACTCATCTCTAACAGACTCTGTTGAATCTTCTGCAGGGCTGCAGAGAGAGAACAGACAAGTTCAATCCAAACCCCAAAGAGTGGAGCGCGTTCCGCAGCACGGACTACGGCTACAGCCGCATGCAAGTGCTCAACGCCACGCACCTTTACCTGGAGCAGGTCTCCGACGACCAGGTGAGCAACACGCAGGAACACAAGCGCAGCAAACGTGACAGAACACATTTGAAGGACAAAGAATATTGCTCAAATAATGAAAAGGACTTTTCTGTGTGTTCCAGTATGGCAAGGTGATTGACAGCATATGGGTGGTGAAAGAAAAGCACGGCTTCTCTGCCTGGTTATGAAGACTGTCAGCCTTTAAAACAACTATCTGCTCACAAAATGCACTTTGAGCTTCAAACAAGCACTTTTTTTTTTTGCTGCATTGCATCAATCAATCAAATCAATCAAAAATACTTTATTCATCCCAGTAGGGAAATTCAATCACAATGAAGCTGTGGTAATGAGAATTCTGACTGATCATTTAGATTTTCTAACAAAGCACAGGGGAACATTTCGATTTCAAAACATTTCCACCAGCATATGATGATCATCTTCCTTAAATGTATATAACTGTGATTTACTGAAAGGTGCTCGGCCTAATTTTCTGGAACTGAGGCATCAGAAATTGCATTTGATTAAATGTGTTTTTGGATTTGCTCGCTGTGTTTCATCAGTGCAGTTGGACTCGAGTTCTTTTGATTTAGCGGTAATCAACAGGTAGGTCCCTTCTTGGCAGCACTGAGTAATGGATGACACCAGACGTGGACAGCATGAATCTGGCAGACACACAGCTTCATTCCTTCAGAGCATATTTTTCATTAAAAAATAAAAATCTGCAAATGCACTTAGACAGATCAGGTCGCGGCCCTATCACTCTATCAAGATGACAGATTCTCCCTTGGCTAATCCTATCAGGATATTGGAAGCTCATTTCATTGTCCATATGTGTGGCCGGCGGGATCTGAGACAAAAAGACACATGGAAGTCGACGCCTGCACAAAAGCACTGTTATGTAACTCAGGGATGCTTGTGGCTTGGGCACATGCTGAGTGAGACGAGGCGCTTTCTCCAGAGTGCAGCTCTCACCATGACTCTTCCCACTCTGGTGGTATTAATTCCTAATAACAGCATGCTGCCTGGGATGAATGCTGGCAGACGACCAGCGTGGATATGCATGCGTCTGTGTTTTGAGCTGTCGAGCTATCTGTCAGCGCCAGAGTGCAATCATCTCTCTGCATAATTCTGTTGACACAACATAGCCGACATGAACAAAATCAACGATCCATTAAGGACTTGAGTTAACATACTGCATGTTATTTGGCAGGCTGCTTTATCCAAAGCACATGCGACGCTACCGGGGAGTACGCTGTATGTTAAACCACTGATGGAAACACGGCACAAATTGGCGTTTTTCACCTGAATGAAGGACCAAAACCTTACAGCAGCTAACACGTGGTGGAGATGTGTCAAAACAGGTTAGCCATGAGGAGCTGAGAGTTTTTGTAGAAAATACAAAAGCAGTCAGGCGTCAGTAGCGTGTCTGTGACTCCAACCGCAGAATTGTTGAACTTTTCTCTGATGTCGACACCCCGCGGCGCAGCGGTGTCTGGTAGGAGAAACGACCAGTGATCACACCTCGTACTCACATGTTTCTGGTGTGCCTGCTCACTGCTAACTGTTGCTCACACGATTGTAAAGGTATGTTTGTGGAGAACGCCCCACGCCGCTGACCTCTGACCTGCTCATGCTGCATATTGTCCACAAAGCAAAGGACACGAGGAAGAAGAGGCGCTGAGTGCAGTCTGCACATAACCAACCAGGAACTTGGGAGGCGATTATGTGCTGTCAGATTGTCATATTTGTTTACAGTTGTTAGAGACCACATTTATGGTCCAGTGAGACTTGGTTGTTTTCTCGTCAGTCATCCATGTACAGTGTTTGATGCAAAAAAAAAAAAAAAAATGGCTGGATGGAAAGTTCTTGCCTTAAATAACGAGCATGTCCCGTGGCGTACGGGTTCGTGTGATTTCCTTAAAATAAGGAAAAAAACATTGATCGCAATCCAGGAAAAAAAGAGCGAGGAGAAAATAACATGTCACTTCAGATCACATGCCTGTTGCAGAAATATGATGTGCTTATTACCGCCTGTGATAGAGGCGCAGCAGGTTTGTGGTTCTGTGGCGACGGGCCTTTGTTGACAGAAATTGATTCTTGCCTTTACGAGTGCAGCGTCCTCGTCAACGCAGAGATTCGATTTTTCAACAAAACTCACTTTGAGAAATTGTGTATTTACGCTTTCGGACTTAAAAGAAACCACTTTGAACACCCTGCTTGTCACCGATAGGGAAGACGGGTAGGTTTGCTGTAAACAGTACCGGAGGAGGTCAAGGAGCGAGGTGCTACATTTGACTGGAATTTGCCCCGTAACTTAGTCGGAGTTCATTGCAAGTTGATGACCTGGCTAAACAGGACCTGCTGTCTGGTTACATTACCAACCTTGGCGAGACCATGACGCGACCACATCGCCTTCCCGCTTACATTAAGTTCATCACAGCAGGCTAATTTCAGACGACACATCAACAGCTTTTTATCCTTTCCCAAGCTTATGGCCGAGTAAACCCTAAGAGTAATGAACTCTTCTTAGACCACATGCGAGAAGGGGAAGCAGATGTCTCTTTCTTTAAACCAAACAGCCGTGAAGCCTCTCTATAAGACTCTTCTAAATTTTCTTCAGTTAAACTCTTGTGGCTTACCAACATTATTTATCTATTTTCGAGAGTTTCTGCTAGCGCTCACTCCCGACAACAAACTCCCCCAGGAGACGGGGAGAGGGCTTCTGTGTGGTATTTCTCTCCACGGGTGATCAACGGACGGCACTTGATCGCGGGGTTAACCGAAGGAGACTCGGGACATGTGTAATGAATTGAAGGCCTTCAGATGCTGGATCTTGGAGGATAATTCATCAATCCAGAAGCTCTGCTCCTCTGCAACCAAAGCGCCGCTATTAAGCAGCCTCAGACCACCACCGAGACAAAACAGCCAAGCACGGTCGACACAATTCCCCTCTCAGCATCGGCACCGCACGGGGCTGCACAACACGGCATCAACACAAACCCAGCAGGAGAACTCCGTGTATTGCTGCAGTAAATCTGAGGTCAACATGATAGCACCAACGCTTTTGTTTTTGTACTTGCACAAAGTGTGTGAAGGGAAATTTAAAAAGCTGCATAAAAAAGAAAACTATAGGCCAAAATAGAAGCGACTGGGGGCTCGATGAAAGCAGTATTTCTGGAGATATGAGAGGAATGCTGCCTGGGTTGGAATAACATTGAACGTGAACTCTAAGGGTCCCGACTGATAAACCAGCACGTGTCCTGTCACACTGGGGTACAAACTAAAGTGTATTAATATAACAGGGAAACACAGTAACTTAGGAAATTTGCACAGTTTTGATTGATTAGCTGAAATACATACACTGCAAACTGCCATCGTAAAGCTAATGCACCAGATGGATGTGTATGTTTCAGTTAGCCTCTATTGTAGCTTTAGCTTAAGGAATAATATAAAGCAATGGAACCAGCCAGGTGTATGTTTGTGTTATTATTAATATTATTATTGTTATTACTACAGTTTACAGTTTGTAGCTCAGCTAATTAAAAAAAAAAAAAAAAAGGAAATAAACTGATTAAATACATCTATCTACTGAGTCAGTTAGCATCTGAATGCTACCTGTTGCAATTAAAGGTGTGTAAAAAGTGAATTAACAAGAAGTTACACAACACTTATAATGATTTTGTAAATTTAATATATGAAATAACTAGTAAAAATGAGTATATGTAATGAATATAAGGTTGAAATAGTAAGCAAGAGTAATTTGTTTAAGTAGGCAGTTAAAAGTAATTATAAATGGTTTTAATCTGCTGTATAGCTAAATACTGACGATATGTAGATTAGCTAAAAGTAGCAGTTAAGAAGTTGGTATATTTAGTCAGAAGTAATGAATAAATGATTGAAACAGCGAAAGTAGTCATTAAAAAGTTGGTAGAGGTAGCTAAGGGTAATATGGACTAATGGTTGAAATAGCAAAAAAGTAGTCATTACAAAATGTATTCAGTTAGCTAAAAACAACAGATAAACAGCTGCAAGCTGTAGAAAAAGTACTTAAAAGGTTAATTATAGTTAGCTAAAGGTAATAAATAAATGTTTGAAGCAATGAAAGTAATAATTAAAAGTAAAAGTAGCCATTAAAAAACTGGTATAGTTCGCTAAAAGTAATGCAAAGATGGTTGGAATAGAAAAAATAATCGTGTATTTTGTTAAAAGTAAGAAATAAATGGTTGACACATTCAGCTTCTCCTGTAGTTTCACAAATATGACCTCATCAAACACTGCCAGTTTTTAAAATGAAAGTAAAATCATTACCAACATCCATTTTAATAGGCTATAATCAGTGTTAACGTTATATAAAAATGAATGCTTTTGGGTAATTTGTCAGGGCTGTGGGGGCTACGACAAGCAAAACAGGTTGGAAACCCTGATGTTGATTAGTCTGTATAGCAGAATAACTCAATGTCACCTCCTAAGCCTCGTTTACTCGTTATAATTATTAACAGATGGAGATGTTTCCATGCAGTTCTGACCACAGGCGCATAAACGAGCTGCTCAGAACTGGAGCTCGCAATCATCAGTGGCACTGCTTGTGCAGCCATCCGTCCTGATTAGTAATGCAGCAATTTATTAGGAAGCCATTAGACTAACTGCACAGGTTTAGCCAAGCAAGAGCTCTGGTTAGTATAAGGCCTGTCTTCAGCATCCTCCAATTCACCAGTGGAAGGGTTTGGCCCCTAATTTTTTGTCTCCTCCTATCTTCTCATTTTAAAGTCATCAGTCTTTCCCACTGAGAAGAAAAATTCAGGACACAACAGGTCATGTTGTTCCCCACACAGATGAAGCTGTTCCTGAGAGCGACGGCAGGCCAACCTGAGACTCCTCTCAGTCTGCAGGAAGTTTGTAGCTTCGTGCCAAGGGGGCAGAGATTCAACTCATTAACTTTGAGCCTCAACACTTGAGGGGCCTGGAGAGCTGAGCAACAACAGGGGTATGCTACCAAATTGGCTGCTGTTGGCATGCAGCACTGGGGCATGTCATTCGGTTCAAGAAGTCTGTGTTAGGGTCTGTTAAGTCCCAAAAAAAAAAAATCTCATTCAGCAGCCGGCATAGTTTGGGGGTGGCTAAATTCCCTGAGCCTGATCCGTCGACATTATGACGTGGGACTTCTTGCCAGTGACTGACTGCGAAGAAAGCCTTGCTGCGCTG